TCAATATCATAACGGACCATAAGCCCTTGCAATGGCTTTTCAATGAATTATAAAGACCCCACATCGAAAATGGTACGTTGGCGAATCAAACTACAAGAGTTTGATTACCAAATTATTTATAAAAAAGGTAAACTCAATACAAATGCAGACGCCCTAAGCCGTATTGAATTACACACTAAAGAAACCGACAATATATCGAATCTAGTATCATATATTGAAGAATTCAATAAAGAATTAGAGGAAGAAGCTAGAATGGAAAATAATCCAATGACCAACAAAGAGATTGAGAACCTAGACCAAATATTAACTATGGCGCAACCTGACCTCTAAGCAACAGCCGAAGACGATGACGAAACTATCCATACTAATGCGGAACAAGACCCTATTGTTGGAATTCCAATTAAAGAATCTGTTGTTAACTATATGGAGCAAATCAAATAATCGTCGCAAAGGTCATGCACTCACCTGCCAAAACAAAATGACTAATTTTATTTGAAAAGAAGAGAAGATTTTTAGTTCAAATATCAGAAAATGATTTTGAAAATGATACAATTAATTTTATAAAAGAAAACGTTGTGCCAGGTAAATTATACTATATCTACTTATTTCGAGAACCCGGATACATATGAACCATTCTGCGAAGTGGTTAGGAAAAATTTTAAATGGCCCTCGATTAGAATTAAAAGATGTTTGAAAAAATTAATCGACATAGTAGACAAACAAAGTATACCGAAAATAATACAGAACTACCATGAGAGTAAGACGCGGAATCGAGGAAACCGAAATGCGTATTAAAGAAAAGTATTACTGGCCAAATCTTAAAGAGTCTATTCAATCGTACATAAATGAATGCGAAATAGGCCAACGAAGTAAATACGAACGACACCCACTAAACATGGAAATGAATATTACACCCACGGCAACCAAACCTTTTGAAACTATTCCTTGACACATATACATTAGATAAAGTTAAATTTCTCACAATCATTGACAGTTTTTCCAAATACGCACAAGCTTACGCCCTAAATTCATTGTCAGTTACCGAAATTAGCGATAATTTAATATCGTTCTTTTCACATCACGGTGTTCCATCCAAAATCATTTTAGACAACGGAACTGAATTTAAAAATACAGTGGTCACAGAACTATTACAACTTCATAAAATAAAAATTAATTTTTGCTCGCCCGAGCACCCCCAGTCTAACGGTGTTATTGAGAGACTACACTCCACTTTATCCGAACACGTAAGAATTCTAAATAATCGTGGCTTCCTGAAGACACCTATCAGCCAAAAAATGAAATATGCAATCCTAGCATATAATCACACCATTCATTCAGTGACTAAATTCAAGCCAACAGATGTTATTTCAGGACACATTAGCACAAACGATCCATTTGACCTAAAATTAGACCAACTTTTATTGACAGATTATGTCGCAGAACATAAAAATAAGTCTAAACTCTTATATTCAACCATCAATGAAAAACTTATAAATCAGAAAGAAAAAATTATAAGAAAGATTAATGAAACTTCCGATAAACCAACATTATTCCACCCGGAACAAAAAATATACATTGAAAAGCATACACGTCAAAAACTAGCCGATAAGTTTACACCTCAGACACAAGTTGAAACCGTTGACCCAGTATGTAAAACAATAGCAACGACTTCCACGGAAAAGTACACATGGGTAACATTAAACGTCCCTTGAGAAATAAATATAGTTTTGACACCTAGTTTTAAGAATAAAATATTATATTACAATTACTTTAATTAACTATTTTAAATGCATTTTATATCATACGCTTGCTTACTAGCTTTATAACAATAAATATTATATTTCAGTTTTTTGCCTGCGCGTTTGGAACTCAAGAACAAATAATCATCAGAAAACTGGATGACAATTCTGGCATAATTCCAGTCAAATTAGGGAACGCGAAAATCAAAGATTACACCTACACCCTGATACATTATTATGACTTGAACCCAATAATATGTGAAATAAATAAACTTCACGTAAAATCTAATAATATTACAAACATTCTTAATGGACATCAAGACTATTCTGAAGACATTAGCAATTACATAAATTTGTTGAAAATAACACAGAATAGAATTGATACAAAAATATCAGAGATTATTCCTCAGTCACAAAGAATTAAAAGAGGATTAATTAATGGTTAGGATCAATATTCAAATCTGTAACTGGAAACCTAGATGCATCTGACGGAGAACGTTACGAGCGTATCATTAGGGAATTACAAAACAATCGAAATAGTTTACAAGAAAGTGTTCTGAAAGAAAACTCGCTTTCTCTAACAGTAATCGAAAAATTTAACCAAACTATTAAACAAATAAATCACAACGAAAAAACTTCTAGAATTAAAAATTAACCAAATTGCACACATGGTACAGAAGGTAGCATATAGAGAAATTTCCCTCTATATCAAAGACATAATAAATCAAATAGTCAATATCTATGAGATAATTGACTCTATTTTACAAGATATAGAAAATTCTTTAACTTTTCCAAATTGAAAATTATGCATCCAAGTATAATAAAAACTGAAGACCTTTATCATGAATTAAACAAACTTCAACAGCGTTTAAGTTCTGAACAAATGCCCCTAGCGGTTACTTTGGAAAATACTTCACTTTTTGAAAAAATAATTGAACTGGAATCTTTTGTCATTAATAATAGAATAACATACCTAATACATATACCAATAATGTATTCGGAAATTTTTGATTACTTTCATTTATACTTGGTTCCAATACTTTCTCAGGCCCATTATCACAATCGACGGTGACCAGAAGATGTCTGACGGATTAGGTTTAACTAGTAAAATTTCGTTCCACAATCTCAGGTATACCAAAATCTTCTGGTTAACCGCCAGTATACTTTACCAGCGCTTCATGTTTGGGTTTACCCTAGGTTTTCTCGAAACATAACCTACAAGTACCGTATGTTTTAAAATGAAAAATTCGTATATTTTAAAACAAGAATATTTATGACAATATAAACGCATACGAAGTGACTACAGTGATGATGGGGTATTTGAAGTTGGAGATAGGGCTCCCAAAGCAAGAGTTTTTAGAGAGAGGTCTAATTATTTTGAAACACATGATTGACAAGAGTTTTTTGCTAGATTTTAAACTCCGGCCAAATACAGTAGATCAAAGTTTGTAGTATCAAAATGTACTTAGAACCAGGACCTAAATTTTTGAATTTATCAATAAAACGTGGTAGGTATACATAAACATTAGTAATTTTATTTTACAAAAAAACCTACGATGGAGAAACTAGATTGATCTGGAACAACGGCAGTAGTAGAAGAACTTTCAATAGAAGTGCTTGTTCTTGGTGCTGAAAAAAACCAGGAATTGCCTATATACTACTGCGCTGGGGTCAGCAACAGTCATGGTAATAAAATACTACGCGTTGTTTGGGAGACAATTATTTTAACACAAGAAAACCTGCTGGCCTTGTTCCAAAAAATTACTGAATAACAATTTGAATAGCTTCAAATTTCCTTGCTGGTTAACACTTGGAATACCGAAGTATAATTCAAAGTAGGTATAGAGGTACTTGGCTTGAAGATCTTTTATTCAAATCAAAAGGAATACATAATGACATTCTGATAATGACATTCTATGATAATGATAAGTTGGAAGTTGGCATATTATGTCATTCTTTTTTTATCAATTTCACTAGCCACTGCTGTAAACAGACACTGAACGCATCATTCATCTTACCAACCCTAGAAAAAAAGTTTTACCTCCGGTGAACTTAACCAGATGTCACAAAAGTTTGGTGAAATGGTACTCCTATGGTAACCTTAGGGTATAAGTTACCGTAACCTTAAGGTTAACTGCACATTGTGACAATGGGCCTCAGAGTCAGTTTAAGGTTTTCTTACCGCGAAATAAATTCTTGCTGAAAAATAAATTGCACTACACATATTATGGCCAAGAATGTCAAGAAGTCACTCCGAAGTTCCATATTTGTGGAAAAGAAGATATTCACGAAATCCAAGAAGACAGCCCATGCGAAATTAAACTACTCCACTCTGACAAAAATACCTCCACCATATTATCATCAATCGATTGGACGATTTCAATCAATGGATATTGGGGTTGTTCCTGTTAAAGAAGCCATCCAACTCAAGTGCTTTCAACAAAAAGAAGTACAAAACATCATTGGAACATTTATGCTCCAAATACCGATTGGTTGCCAAGTGGCCACCGCTTCCAAAATAGTCATCAATGAAAATAGGACAATCAAGACCGATATTCAACCGATACAGTTTCCTGACATACCAAATACACTCGCCATGATGCCGACCCTCAATCTAAGTAGACATCTAAATTATTTGAAGTTAGACGACCTTCACCAATTTAGCAAAGAAGTAATGGACATACGCCCACAACTGAGCTTCACCGAAATCAATAGATTGCCCAGCCTTGGGACAATCCTCATATATGTCCTCATCGTTATTGCCTGTATCTTCTTGGTTTACATGAAATATGTAAAAGCTGCTATGAAGAAGAAGAGGTCCACCGCCGTTCCAGAAGAAAACCGGAGTATTCAACTCCTCCGCTAGCGTGAAAGTTGAAGCTAAGAAGGGCAGAATTATATCACGCCTACTTGCTGAGTCCTCATTTAAAATGCTTATTCTGCTTTTCAGCTTATTATAAATATAGGTATTTTCTTAGGATAGTTAGTCAGTTGAAATTTATTATACTTATAACTTTTATTTGTAACGTGCTTTCGCTAGTAATAATTTCGAATTGTTAATAAAGTAAATTTTTTAAAAACCAACCCTCGGTTGCTGACTTGTTAACTGGCGCAGTCGACAGGACGTGTTTTTCGGGACTGTTTATCGGTTCTAAATATATTCTGCTAGATCAGTAACTTCGTTTCGAACCCCATATTCAGATAATGTCCATAGATAAAGAATTTGTGAAATGTTTGCATGAAAAAATATTTTACTTCTAGATGAAGCTTTGTGTTGTGATGCTTCTCAAGTCGCAACTATGATAGACGGCTTCCAGAATTCTGCTCCATTTGCCAGATGTCCTACCTGTGTTAAGAATATGCAAAAATTTTATTGTACATTTACATGCTCTCCTTATCAAAGCTCCTTGGTTGCCAACTATACCAGCAAGACTGAAGATGGAAAAAGTAAGATATAATGATATAATTTCAACAATTTTTGAATTGTGAGAAAATTAACACGTATTTTTAGCTTATGTCGACACTCTAACTTTGGCGGCAAGAGATAGAACACTTGAAGGTATTTACAATTCTTGTAAAGATGTTTCTTTGCCTAGCACCGGAGAAGCAGTAATGCAAAGTGCGTGTGGGGTCTATGGATCTATTTGGTGTACTGCAAAAAGGTAATTACATTGTATTGAAACTGAACAAACAACTAATCTTTGTTTTCTTTATAGATTTTTTGATTATATTGATGATCCGGATCAAAATCCTTTTGCCCCATTTAGAATTTACTTTGCTGATAGGGGAACAGATAGTCCGCTGGATTTTGTAGTTCCTTCATGTGACCAGGCTTATGTAAGTATCATTTTTCTATTTTGTGAGCTTTGAACTAAATATCTTATTCTAATATTTTCATCATATCTATTAACGAGTTTGTGGTTCCAATCCACAATACTTTTTTTTTTCTAAAGGAAGGTTCCTCCGCATGTACCTGTTCTGATTGTCCAGTAAACTGTCCAGCGAATCCTTATGAAAGGTTAACAGTCGACCATTATATTTTTGGCAATATAAATAAATATACTTTTTATATTTCGATTGCGTTCTTAACAATAGGATTTTTAACCTTTTTTGGTACAATGGCTATTTCACATTTGTTTAAATTTGGACGAAATCGAGTTGAAGGTAATGATAGTTGATCTACAAAACCACACGACAAATAAAAACCAATATTTCTAATTTCAGCTGAAACACCGCAAGGAAAATGTGTAACTCTTAGGGAAAAAGTTCATATTTTTCTCTATAAGTTCTTCAAAGCTTGGGGTACTTGTAAGTATATTTGATTGAGCTTTTCAAAGAAACTTGACTACAAAATTTGAATTTAGAAGCAAAAGTACTAATAACGTATTATTATCTATAGTTATGGCTACCAAAAGATATGCAGTTGTTATACTAAGCCTCATCGTAAATGTTGCATTGAGTTTTGGAATACTTTCCCTAAACGTAACCACAGATCCAATAGAGTTATGGGCATCGCCAACGAGTCGAAGTCGAATCGAAAAGGACTTTTTTGATACTAATTTTAAACCTTTTTATAGGACAAACCAGATATTTATCAAGACTGTGGCTATGAGTTCAGTAAGTTAAATATTCCTTCAAATGTGTACCTACTCCTAATCCATCTATTTTAGTTTTTCTTTGAATCCACCTATGGAGGAAACCTAATGCTTGGGCCAGCTTTTAATGCAACTTTCTTGGAAGAGGTTTTCCAGTTGCAAAAGCAAATAGAAAATGTATACAATTAATGTTTGCCCTATTCATACAAGTTTTCACTAAATATTTGTTTGTAGATTACTGTAGAAGTTGATAACATAACTATTGGACTCAAAGATATATGTTATTCGCCATTGAGAACGCCATTTTATAGCAAAAGAACTATAAATGAATGCACCGTTATATCTTTACTAGGGCTTTTCGAAAATGATATCGATACTTTTAAACAAGATCCACATTCTAGTACAGAGAAAATTATTGGGTGTTTACAGTAAGAATATTTTTCTAATACTACATGACCTGTAATATTCAACTTTGTTTATAGGGCTCCTGCTTCGATAAATTGCTTGGCTCCTTATGGAGGGCCCATTATGCCAGGAGTGGCGATGGGTGGTGTTACTCAGGATGACCACTTAGATGCTTCTAGTGTTTCTTTAACTTTTATTGTTGCTAATAGTGTTAAGGAAAGTGACTTGACTGGTGCTTATGCTTGGGAAAAAGCGTAAGTTGAATTAGATTTTGTATTGTATTTCTATATTATGTATTTTTCAGCTTTATAGAATTTATGGAAAAATGGGATGCATCTGAAGACAAGCCAAATTTTTTGGATATAGCCTACAGTGCTGAGAGATCTGTACAAGACGAAATCCAACGTCTTTCTTCTTCTGAAGCCTTCACTGTGTACACTAGCTACTTAGTAATGTTCAGCTACATAGCTCTAGCATTGGGAAAAATGGTTAGCCTGAGCATTAAAGAATTTATGGTATATATTATTACGTGAATTATAGAATTAATATTAATGCGATATAAATATTGTAGTTGGAAACCAAAATTTTGCTTGCCATTGGAGGTATCGCCATTGTTATAATGTCACTTACTTCCGCTATTGGAGTTTGTTCTTACTTGGGAATAACCACAACAATGCTGACTCTAGAAGTTATTCCTTTTTTGGTATTGGCTGTTGGTGTGGATAATTTGTTTATAATTGTGCAGGCTCATCAAAGAAGAATCGTGTAAGCTATTTTTTTAAAAACAATTTTTAATTATTGGCTATATTCATTGAGTGGAAAAAAAATTGCCATAAAGTTTCCTATATATGGTCCAAAATTAAAAAATATTCGCAAGCGTTCATATGCAATTTGAATGGTCTCAAAAGTTTATTAATTTCATGTGGCTGAAACTTCGTTAAAAATTTGATGGGCTATTATTGCTCAAAATTCAATTCGGGGAAATTTTCATGGAGTATGAAATAGAAAAAAAAGAATGGTAAATACCTTTTTGTTCTGTGATCATAAATGAAAAAAAATATGTCAGTAATATTGTAAATAGCAATGTGTTTTTATTTTGGAAATAATTTTTAGGGCATCAGACTTAACAATACCGGAATCGATAGGTGAAACTTTAGGTAAAGTTGGACCCAGCATGTTGCTTACAAGTGGTTCGGAAATCTTATGTTTTTCGATTGGTAAATTACCTGAACATATGTTTTATTTTAGTAACAAATAATTATTTCTAGGGTCTCTATCAACAATGCCAGCAGTAAAAACCTTTGCAGTTTACGCCACCGTTGCTGTTGCATTAAATTTTATATTACAAATGACCGCTTTCATTGCACTTTTCAGTATAGATCAATCTCGTTATATGGTACGAAATTTTAAAAAAATTATAAATTGTGTATAATATAATGTGTTGTTTGTTTTTTTTTTAAGAATAACCGTTTGGATGTCTTGTTTTGCATAAGCTACAAGTCGACGAAGTCTTTGAGGCCACCGATCATACATACATTCTGGAAAGAGAAATTTACACCGATTATTATGAAGTAAGTTATCGAGGAAGGATTTTTTTCTTTCTCCATAGACTATGTGAAAAATGAATTTAGATGATAGGTACTTCTACAGTGATAATACTTATTGTTTATCGTTTTCAATCTGACACTTTCCGTATGAGGAGCGAGGGGGTGAAGCATATGGCAAAAACAGGTGTGACGTCAGGTGACCATTGGCGTTCTAACTTAGGGAGCCATTAGCTCACATTCCTTTGGAGTATCAGATTAAAATCGACGGATCCTACAGACATGTCCAACCGTGTTTGTAGTTGTTTAAATTAAGTAGGTACTTGGGTTTATGTCGGTTACTTGGTTTGAGAAATTCAAAAGAGCTGGAAGGAGAATTAACTCGAATCAAATGGAATATTCCAAGTCTCTGCGCAAAAAGAGTAGCTTGAGTGAAATTCACCTCATTGAAAAATTGACACATTGACTACCAGAATAACAAAGAAACTGACTCACACCTTGGAGAAGTAGACCTCTACATAGAGAACGGAAGCTTCTCCTCACTAAAATTAAATTATATCTCATACATGAGAAATTATGAATGTTGGTCCTGAAAAACTGCATGACTCTATACAATCAACTTGCCTCACTCTCCGATAAAGAATAAAATGGCACCGCGAGAAGTTGGAATTTTCTATCTCTCCTCCCACCTCCAAAGAGTAAATGTCTGAATCGAGATGATGATCGAATGAAATCAGAATAAAATAGACATCTGGTACTAGCTTGTGTTGATTTCGATAAGAAAGTCAACATTACTCTAGATTCTTCCAGAAGCTTTTCAAGAATCGACTATCCATTCGCCTGGAAGATTTTTATTATTATTCATCAGATCTCATTATTATTATTGTTAGATAAAAGACTTTATTCCCCTTGTACCAGGCCTGTTCGACTTATCGTCCCCATGAAGCACTGAAGTCTGAGAAGGCTTATTGTACTTTGCCTGTGTGGTTTATTCCAACCACTCCAGTATTTTTGTGCAGTGTTTGGTTGCCCAAAAATGCCGTGTCTTCTGCGTTCCAGTGCCTCGCAGTTCACCAGCATGTGTCTGGCTTTCTCGAGTTCTTATTGCAGAGTCTGCAATTAAGGTCTCCGTCGTACAGTTTCATCCTGTTCAGGTGGACCTTTACTGGTGTGTGGCCAGTCAAGTGTCCCGTTATGTTTCTCAGTCGGTTCCTGCTCATTTGTAGCAGTTCTGCGGCCCTTTTGCTGCACGGTTGGTCGATGAATTCCCTGCCATGATTCTGCTCCAGTGTCGCCGATATTGTTTACGAATCCAGTCTATGATGGGCCTTCTGGTCATACTTTTTGGTATCCCTAGTTCTGGCCCGATAAGTTTTGTCTCTGACCCTCTCTTTGCGAGTTCATCAGCATTTTCATTGCCTTCAATTCCTTTGTGTCTTCGCACCCAGATAAGTCTCACCTTATTCTGGTCCACCAGGGCCCTGAGTTCTTCCTGGCATTTCCATACTAGTCTTGACACTGCCTGACTCGAAAGGACCTCCAGTGTTGCTTGACTATCAGACATTATGAGGATCTGCCTATTGGCTGTGGCTTTCCTCCGCTGCGCATTGGAGTATAGCGTATACCTCTGCTTGAAAAACAGAGGCATCTCTTCCCAGAGCATAGTGATCGCTATAGTTGGCGGAGTATAGTATACCCCTGTTCCGGTACTAGACGCGGTCTTCGACCCGTCTATGTACCAGGTCTGGTCTTGTTTTTTGGTCTCCGGTATGCCATGTTCCCATTCAGTTCTGCTTGAGAAGCTCACCTCGAATGGTCTGTTCAGGCAGTATCGTCTTGGTATTTAGTCGGTCTTCATGTTGAAAATCTCTTCCCCCACGAGTTCAACGATTGCCATGTGTCCCGTCCTTTTGTTGGAGGCGGTTGTCGGCTGCAGTCTGTACCCTCCCATCCTTGCCTCCCCTTGTATCACTATGTGTAGAGGTGAGAAGTCTAGGAGGGTCTCAATGGCTGCTGTTGGTGTAGATCGCGTTGATTTCGTTATTCCTGAGCAGGCCAGTCTTTGCACTTTGCTAAGTTGGCGTATGGCATTTACCTGCGGTGTCTTGGGCCACCACACCAGGGAGGCGTATGTCAAGATAGGTTTGACCATCATGTTGTACCAATACAGCATATCTGGTCTTAAGTCCCATAATTTTCCAGGCAAGCTTCTGGCTATCATGAGTGATGTAACTGCTTTTTTAGTGGTGTTTCCCAGATGTTGAAACCAAGTAAGTTTAGAGTCCAGTGGTACCCCCAAGTATATACTTGACCTCGCTCGAAACCTGTATATTTTCACACCTTAATCTAAGAGGTCTCAGGTCTTGTATGTTATGCTTTCGGGTAAATGCCACGATGGTGAATTTGTTGAGACCAATGACTAATGTTTAGCCCTCCTCTGTGCTTGAGGAATTTGGTTATTGATCGTGTGTTGTCAAAAGCTCCCTCTATATCCAAGAAGAAACTCAGCATCACCTCTTTGCTTGCCAGTGTGGTCTCCCATGCTGACCAGCTGGTGAAGCGCTGTTTCTGTTGACATCCCTGTCCGATACACATATTGGTCTGGGTGTAGTGGTCTGTTTGCCAAAACACCGTCCCTAATGTGCCTATTCACAAATTTTTCCAGTGTCTCAAGCTCAAATGATGAAAGACTAGGGACTTTGCCGTGTCCTGTCCTATTTTTCCAGGTTTTGGTATAAACGATGCCCCAATGCGCCGTATATTGCTAAAGGCTAGGCTACTTCTTAGAATGTTACATAGTATCCTGTTTGCAAGTTCAATTCCGTTCTGTAACATTATGGGATAGATCCCATCTGTCCCTGTTTACTTATATGGGTCAAATGTGTTTATTGCTTATTTGACTTTTTCATAGTTGACTTCTTTCTTCGAGGTCAGCCAGTCGTTCCTGGATGCTCTTCGAAGCCTAGGCTCATTCCATGTCCACTGAGTCTGATCAACTAGGTATCTTTGAGCCGGGAAAGTGTGTTCTTAAGAGTTCCCTAGCCGTCTCTTCTCCTGTCTTTATGTATTCACCAAGGTTCTTCCTGAGTGATTTGATTGTTGTCTTCGGGCCCCTTGACAGAGCTCTTTGTTCTCTAGCACAATATTTTGTACTTTCTATATCCTGACAGTACTTCCTCCAACACCTCCTCTGGGATCTCCTCAGCTCTTTCTTGAACTTTTTCAACGTGGTTCTTTATTTTCCCACGGTAGCATTTTAAAAACCTCTCCCAAGGCCAACGTAAAAAGCTTTGGAGATATAGGATCACCCTGGCGAACTCCCCTGTTAATTGAAATTATTTCGGTTCTCAGGTCTTCCGTAGTTTTCACACGGAAAGTTGCGCTTCTGTATACATTCTTAGAAGGGTTGGATCAATCCTTGCTCCATCCATCGCACGTAGGAGAGCCCATGTTTCAATAGAGTCAAATGCCTTATGAAGGTGATATGAAGTGGTATATTGTATTCTGGTGGTGGTTTTCTCTATTAACATTCGAATGGACTATAGGTGATCCATAGTGCTGTATTCCTTCGGAAATCCTGCCTGCTTCACTGGTTGATAGGCATGTAATTTAGGTTTTAGGTTTAGGATCCTTGTTAGTACTTTGTAAAGGTGGGACAGAAGGTTGATAGGTCGATAAGTTTCAATGTCCGTGATGTCGCCCTTTTTAAAAAGCAGAATAACTTCTGCGTTGTGCCTTGTTTCAGGGATATTGCCTTCAGATAAACATTTATTAAATAGCACCTGTAGAATTTGTTCCATAAAGTCTCCGCTAATTTTTAGCTTTTCACAGGTTATTCTGTCTTTCCCAGGTGATTTACGGTTCTTCATTTGTCCTAGTGCCACCCTTATTTCCTCTTTGGTTATATCAGGAATGTCTTCTGAGCCTACATTGAAAACAGTAACTTTCGGAGTATTAGGAACCCGCACAACAGAGGTGTATACAGACGAGAATAAAATATTTCTATATGTTTAGAGTATGGTTATTCCGAGGGTTATTCTCATCCTTCATTTTGACAATTCTGCTTTTTCCAGGCGAAAGTCTCGATATAAGAACTTTCATGTTAGAGTTGTCCTCAATTACGGTTTGAATTATTCTGGTATTATAGGATCTCACATCCCTTCTCACTTCCCTCTGTATTCTCTTCCAAAAATGTTTCCATTTCCGAACGAAGTCTTGGGTTGGTTCTCCGTGCATTGCGCTATCAGAGTCTGCTACTGGAGCTTCTCTGATAGTTGTTCTAGAAGGGTCCAAGTTAGAACCTGACTCCTGCCTTTCTTCAGTTTGGTTGTGTTTTTTTTCTGTATCCATTTTTTCCCCACGAGTAATGGGGAAGGGTGTGTTCACTCCTGCGGAGCCCCTACGCAGAAGTAAGGCTAAATACTCTGGGATTTCGCCCGGTTTCCCAGAGGCTCCGTTTGCGATGGTGCAACCCCACCGCCATGCATCCCTCGGCACGGATTGCTCAACACCTGGATTGGGTCTGTCTTGAGCTGTCCTTAGCTGCGCTGCTGTCGCGGCTACTGTGATAAAGGGCTTAAGCTACAGCAGTTGTAGAAGCATGCGATGGAAGGAATTTCATGACCAGCCTCATATCATGCCTCTCCTGAGAATATCTATCAAATTTGGCGGGTAATTGGCGGCTATTCTGACGTAACTTTCGCTCGAGAACCAGCTTAGTAGTATATCTACTATTATTAGAATGAGACCAAAATGGTAGATATGTTAGATAAAAAGAGAATCACTTCATCTAAAAAGGAAGCTCACAATACTGCGCCTTTGGAGCTCAATGCTGAAATTATGAAGAACTGGGGTCAAAGATGTCCTCTGGTTCATAGCAAAGCTCAAATGAAACTTATCTGGTTATGCAAACCTGATTAATACAGCACATCAATATTCAACAGTGATGTAATATTTTCTTGAGTTAGATGGCAACTTGCCTAACAATATTTTCAACCAGCTATAATTTTTCGAAGCGTTTCAAGGGATTTGAACCAGAAAACCGCAGTTAGAACCGCTATTAGAAAAAATGCTGTTCAGAACAGATAAGTAGTTAATTCCTTTTACAGATATCCCATGAGAATAATCATCATAATAATTTTCCTAATATCAACCTGCTCATGCATTTTAATCGCTCCTTCCATTGAACTGGGATTAGAGCAAGAAATTTCCATGCCAACCGATAGTCATGTGGTTAAATATTTCAAGGTAACAAAAGTTACATTCAAAATACCTAATCAAAATTTTTAATTTAATATTTTTGTTTTTCAGTACTTGAATAGTTTACTTGGAACTGGTGCTCCAGTTTATTGGGTCACTAAAGGAAAAGTGGACTATTCTAATACAACAATAAGCAATAGGGTGTGTAGCGGTGTTGGTTGTTTGGATAATTCTATAGTGACTCAACTATATCTAGCTGCTAAGTCAGAAAACATGTGCGTACCTATATTGAAATCCAACAAAAAAAAAAAAAAATGCCATAGATATATTATATTTTTTTAGAACATATATTTCAACCCAATCAAATTCCTGGATAGACGATTTCTACGAATGGGCCGACACAACAAAATGTTGCAGATCATTCAAGACGAACTCCTCATTCTGTCCGCATACTTATCCAAATTCAATTTGCGATCCGTGCGATATCGATGCAGTTAATTTAACAAAACCAGAATACTACTCGAAATATTTACCCTATTTTCTGATGGACAATCCGGATCCTGCTTGCGCCAAAGGTGGCCATGCTTCGTATTACCAAGTAAAAATTTCCACTTTTAAAATTTTTCTTTTCTAATTAGTTGATATTTTAGGGAATGTCATTTTCAACAGACGATACCGGGGAAATTAGTGTGGCAGCGTCCAGCATAATGGGTTATCATGCGGTACTGAAAAACTCATCAGATTATATAGCAGCTCTTAAATATGCCAGACATATTGGGGAAAGCTTAACGAAAACTTTGGATCAAGAGGGTGTAGAGATTTTCCCCTACAGGTAGGGTAGAGTCACATAGATTTCTCACTTTTATGTGTTGGATGTGTGCCCAATAATTTGCCATTTGAATTTTAAAGATTATGCAATTTTGTATTATTACATTAGAACTTGTCGCCCCTGTTTACAATAATAAATTATTGTTCTTATTCGAATTGCTCTACTATTATAATCCATTAAAAATAATTTATTTAATTTTTAGTGTATTCTATGTCTACTATGAACAATACCTAACAATATGGCAAGATTTACTGGAAAATTTGACCTATTCTCTACTCATAGTATTTGCAGTTTCATTTATCGCCACTGGTTTTGACGTTTTCGCTGCTACCATCATTTTATTGACGGTTTCGATGATTGTTTTGCATATGATGGGATGGATGTACATGTGGAATATTTCTTTGAATGCTATTTCATTAGTGAACATAATTATGGTAAAAATATGATATAGAAATATAGAATTTTCTTTTAAATTTTCTCATTATTTTAGAGTGTAGGAATTGCTGTTGAATTTTGTGGACATTTAGTGCATTCGTTTGTGGCATGCTCAAAACAGTCCTCACTTGATAGGGCCACATATGCTTTAGGAAATATTGGAAGTTCGGTGAGCGGAATTTTTTTTTTTTTGTGAAGCAAACATTAATTTTATATTATTTTATTAGATTCTAGCTGGCATAACACTGACTAAATTCTCTGGCATTGCAGTACTGGCATTTTCCAGATCGCAAATATTCCAAATATTCTATTTCAGGATGTATTTGGGAATAGTTATCATTGGAGCTTTACATGGTCTTATATTTTTGCCTGTATTTTTGAGTTTTGTGGGTAAGTAAAACTCATTTTGCTATTTTTTTGTGTAGAATATTTTTTATATTATTTTCTAGGACGTGTCAAATATACTCCCTAATAGTTTGAGGCCCAATTTAGAATTACCTAATAATATTAGTTCCTGTAAATTAATTTTAATATTTAATAATTAAATAAAAAATTAAACTAAAAGTATTTTTATTTTATTAATTAAATTTATTCTAAGAACATTAATAAATTAAATTATAATTTCAAAGGCACAAGTCTGAATATACAAGGAAACAACAAAGTTTAGTGTAGTTTAATAATAAACTCAAACACAATGAAGAGAGAGACTTACAATTTATCACGAAATTGCGCTCCATAACCGTTTCTGAAACGGAAGGAATTTTACGAATTGATAATAGCAGGAGAAATTAATAACCGGTAATTGTGTTCGCCATTTCAAAATCCTTTTGATGTTTCGGCGCATTAACGACACGTATTGTTAGAAATTGTCATTATGTTACGTAATTAGTTTCAAGCTATTAAAATACGGTTGTTATGAGGATGGCGCAGGATTGCGGATCAAAGATTGAACAATTATTCGGAGTCCAGAGTTGGAATTTAACAATTTGAACGTGCATTGAGGGTATTTTGATGACAAGGATTGGCAAGACGGGTGTAAAACTGGCAACGATATATGTTTGTTAATGATTTGTATTATTGGTATTATAGAGTTTTATTCATTCAATTTATCTTGGCTCTCTAATCATAAATAAAATCGGAAACAAGTTATATTATAAAACCCTATGTTATTATTATACGAATAATTCTCCTTTTCAATGTTAAATATAAGCGTACGCCACTCTAAAAGCCCACGATATTATAAAGATGCTGAGTAAGGGGTACTGCCTGGAAAAGTACCGTCATATCAAGGTTTCGCCCACACGATTGCAAGTATCAGCAGTGTTTTAATATAAATACGGCGCGCAGAGGCTTCTCTCGCATTCTCTAACTTAGACTATAGCAATTAGAATCACAGATTCTTTTTTTCTCGGCTTCCGCTGCAGCAATTTAGAATCTAGTATTTTTTGTTGTAACTTCTTAGTTTTTAATAAAATAAATAGTTTTTAAAAACAAGATTTACTGAACGAAAAAAATAATTAACATTCTCGTCGTAACTACTTGTAAAAAAATTAAAACCAATCACCAGCGACAGTTATTATTTATAGATTTTATTATCTAGGTACCACAATAACGCCCCACCAATGGGTAGAATATTTTGAAAAATTACTGACAGAAGAACGTAGGTACTAAAGTTTAGAGAAAAGAGAGAACAGACACAAACTCCTAAAAATAGAAGCATCACCACCATATGAGAGTTATGGAAAGGCTAATCGGCAAGGAAGGCGTCGGAAAAATCAACTTGAACGGACTTTGCCCACTTACCACATGCTCAGAATATGATATTGTAATAACCAATACGCACTTTTTCAGCAAAAGAATAAATTCAAGACTACCTGGCTGTGATGTTTGTATTTTTAAGGTGGCAACACCTTGCCACCAGTCGATCAAAAAGATTGTTGAAGGTTGTTACCTTCTAACGTACCATTAAAGATACTATTCGTATTATGAACTTTCGGGTTTTATTAAAAATCATAATCAAATACAAAACAGTACAGTCCCACGTTTATTTTGGTGCTCAAGCTTGTGAAATGATATACATAATTAATGATATTGGTAGCTTCTAGTAAAGGAAGGTAACAAAGATTATTATTATTATGGGTATCTGCAGTAGACGGAATAAATCCGATGAAACTGCTGAATCTATTTAAGTTGTTGTTTAAAGATTAGAGATTTGTGGGAAGTCATGCATTGCTCTTGCCAAAAGAGCCTCTGTGGTCTTAATAGTCCTCCTGAAACTTAGTTGCCTCATACGGTATAGAACAAACAACAAAGAACGTTGTGCTTTGGTTCTTCATTTCATGGTCTAAACGGTTTTTGAACTGGTTCTTTGTTGTTGACGTGACAGTGTTGTTACCAAGACTGTTCCAGAGATAAACCACCCTGTTTGTTAGAAAGTTTCTTCTCATTAGCTTATTACATTTCTCCTTAGAAAGCTTTAGATTGTGACCTCTGACATTGGTGTTTTGGTTGAGGTGGTAGATCTCTCTCAAGTCGCATGCATAGTGTTCATTCATTATTTTGAAAGTTTCAATGAGATCTCCCCTCATTATTCTATCTTTTAGGGTGGTTAGGTCTAGCTGGGTTAATTGTTCCTCATAGTCCATGAAGGTCTGGAGGCAGCTTAGTTATTCTTCGTTGTACTCTTTCAATTTGCTCTATGTCTATAGCACAGTAAGGATTCCAAAAAGTTTGTGCATATTCCATTCTTGGCCTGACATATGATTTATGTAGCTTTAGTATCATATCTTTGGAGAGGTCTTTAAATGATTTTTGTATGAGGTAAATCATTGAATAGGCTTTTTTGGTCATTTGCCTGATGCGAGTTTCCCATTTCAAGTCCTGGGTTACAGTGATTCCTAGATCTCTCTGTTGTATGACAGGTGTTATTTGAAACTGTTCAAAAAAGTAATTCAATTTAGGGTTGTTTTGGCCAATATGTAGTACTGTTCATTTGGAATCATTCAAGGGCATTTTCCATAGCTGTGTCGATTCTTTGATATTGTTTAGGTCTCTCTGAATAACAGCATGTTGCGAAAGTGGATTTCCATAAATGTTTCCATCGTCGGCAAAAGATGCATTTCTTGTTTCCAGCCCTGATATAGATCACTTAAATAGGCAGTAAAGAGTAGAGGACCGAGAACTGATCTCTGTAGTACTCCACTGTGCACTCTGTGCTCTTTTGAAAGTGTTGGACCCACACGCACCTGAAAACTTCTTCCTGTGAGGAATCCTCCGATCAACTGGAGTAAATTGCCCCTAGCTCCGACTTGTTCGACTTTATGGATTAAGAACTGTGTTGGTATTTTGTCAAATGCTTTTTGGAAGTCAATATAAATCACATTGATTGGTTCGTGGTTGTCATCTGACAGTGTCCAGTGGTTGAGTCTTGTTAGGAGATTTGTAATCGTCGATTTCCGGGGAAGGATTAAGCATGTCAGCTAGTGGCCCTCCTGAGGAAGACAGGAGGGATTTCGTCGAGCCCTGGAGTTGATGATAGTTTAAGTGATTTTACTGCAGTTTCAAATTTTTCCGGAGTGAACACGATATTTTTTAACTATATGCATATGGTAGTGTGGGGAGAACCGTATTCGAGTTGAGCACTGTGAAAACTTTCCCGAACTCTTCTGCAAAACACTCTGCAATATCTTGATTTGATGTTTGTGGTTCTTGTGTTATTTTATCAATTAGGCTTAACTTGTGATGTTTTGTGTTGAGGGTGCGATTTATGTAGGCATAGAATTGTTTATCTACTACTATCCAATAGGTTATGTTCATAGGTTTTTCTAGCTGATGCTATGCATGCCTTGGTCTTGTTGCTTTGTCGCTGGTATTTTTAGTAGCTTGCTTCTGATTTGTTACTTCTATATGTATGCCAATAGTCTCGTTTTCTTTGGATCTCTTTGAAGACTTCCCTGGTCAGCCATGGTTTTTGTGTATTTATTTTTTGAGGTCTGATTGGAATCTAGGTGATCATTGCTATAAAACTTCTCAGTAGTCATTGGATTTGTTACTTGCTGTAAATGTTGCTGTAGTGTGAGGGACTATGTGATCACTTTTCCCCAGTGGTGCATGATGTTGTATGTCAAATACAAGTTTCTTCGCATTAACTATTAGTAAGTCGTCGTTTCTGAACCTAGTTGGAAAGTTTACAAGTCGATGTCCACGGTGGTTCGTGTAGCTTTCCAAGAAGTTATGGCAGCACTGGTTGTGGAGGTGCACTTCCAATGTATCCCAGTTGATTTCTGGGTAATTGAAATCTCCCATGATATAGATAGGCTCTTTAAGGGCCATAGCTTTCTCTATAGTCTCTATAAGAGCCTGGTTTTGTTCTTATGTGGTCTTTTGCGTTGGTCTATAAATACATGCAACCAAAAGTTTGATTTTGCTTAGCTTAATTTCGATCCATAGTGATTCAACTGTAGCTGACGTGTAGAATTGTTGACTGATAACAAGCAGATGATAAAGTTAAGATTGCCATTCTTTTGAACACTTTGGGTGACGAAGGGTTTCAGAGCCGTTTTCGGGTACAGAGTGCGAAGCTCCTAGAACACTTCACACTTGTCATAAAGTCCACAGATTCATGCGTTTTGCACTCGAACTCTTGAAACCGAATGGGTCAAACTGTAACTGGAGGACTTCGGAGTAACTCGGGAGCGCTCAAAGGGTGACACCCGAAAGCAGCTCAAATATTCAGTACTTTTGAATATCAAAATTAGTGGAAAAATTCGATGCATACTGTAGTCCCATGAAAAATCTGGTGTATCAACACTTTAAATTTTTTAAACGAGACCAGCTACTTCATGAAAGCATCATTGGCATTGGCATTGGCAATGACCTGTGAATTCAAAGAAAAAGATACTCTAATACTTGACATAGTAGTTTTGGGCGTTCGAGGAAAAGGTAATCCAGTATTCTGAATTAAAGCACAAACAAGCAATAGATGTGTGCAGGTCTATGGTGAATCAACGTGAGATTACTAAAAAAGTAAGGTGCCATAAAGAGTTTGGGTGATAGAGACATTTTGAAAGAGGACAGTTCTCAGGTAATGCAGGATATACAGCAGATGTGAGTGAAAGCAGCGGCTTCAACTCCCGAGGAAAATCCTATCAAGTGGGGTCGAATAGGGGCCTAAACTCGGGTCAACAGCAGCAAAATGGTAAACAGTTTCCTTGTTAAAAGTGTGGGCTTCAACATGATAGGGCTAAGTGTCCTGCATTTTCTATATATTGTATATTATGTCACCAGAAAGGACCTTACCGTCAATTTTGTCCAAATAAAAACTGCGCGCATGAAACATAATGATTACTCTGATGGTGAATCGCATGATACTCAGGTTGTCTGGACAATAATAAATAACAATAATTGTTCTTGTGTGGATTTTATAGAATGGTTTGAGAAAATTAAAATAAACAATGGTGCTGAAATAAATCCTGAAGTGGACACTGGGTAGGCAAGTAAATATACCTAATCATGGTGACTTTCTGAAATTAAATATTAATTTCAGTGACCTATAGACTACCTCTAGTAATCTCTCAAGTTATACGGGACATATTTAGCAAATTGTGCTTAACTGTCACTACAATAGTGTAAAGAAAAATTT